CTTTTAGAAAACCAAAGTCCTATGCATATCTACAACATAAAGACAGAAATGTATTTTACCTCCAGCTCAGGAAATCAACCATTCAGTAATTCAACAAAATTGTATTGAACACTGATTCCATCTGAGGCTGTCACTTTCCTTCCAAGTATTCTAAATGTTATGTTTTCTTTAGATGTTACCCTTTAAAAAGGAATGATGTATTATAAAAATTATTGAGGGAGTAGTGTGGCATACTAATAACAGCTTCAAAGAGTACTGATACAGAAATAAGGAGGCAATGGTTATAGTTCTAGGTTAGTTTCTCTCTGAAACTGTTTCCTCATCTTTTGAAATACTACTGGGTTGACCAGATGACAAAATGTGTGTGAGTGTATATGTGTGCGTGTGTGTGTGTGTGTGTGTGTGTGTGTGTGTGTGTACTTTCTCTCAAATGCAATATTCTATTGTTATAATTATTTTTCTGGAGATCATGTACTAGGCTTTTTAAAGGGGAGCCCTGAGTCTCCTTTGATGAATGTTTATCACCACTGTCACTCCATAGTCAAAGAACACAGTTGCTTTTCTCATTATCTTGACCCTATAGGGTCATCTGTAAATCAACTTATACAGAAAAGACTCGTCTGAGAAAGAAGATCTCACAATTTATCTTAGTCACCTGTGCTAAGGATTAACAATAGTCATTCAGAAGAAACATGCTTATTCACAAAACTAACATAAATTTCCTATAATCGAATGTGCTTAAGTAAATGTGGTTGGAGTACCTATTTCTCTCTCTTCACCTCTCTTCCATTTCTCGTGGAAGAGCTAAATAAATAAACTTAAAAAAATTCATGTTATTACATCCTTACTATTTTAGACACATGTTAATATGATGCCTAATAGCTAATTTAAATATTTTACTTTTCTGTATGTTGTGTTTCATGCTTTTTTAATCACTGTTGCTAAGACAAATATGGGCTAGGCAGTTACGTATTAGGGGAACCGTGACAAAATGCCAACAAAAAGGGCATTACTTAAAGCCATCCAGTTGTGTCCCATTCTTTGAAAACTTAGACCGTCCACTTCCCTAACCCTTACCCTTCCAGGTCAAACCATCATAGACCTCCCTACAGAACACACAGAAGAACAATTAGAGTCAAAGTCCAGGGCCGCTTAATTTCTTAACTCTGGAACCTATCCAACCTTGGCAGCATGACCTAAAGCAAATACAGCAATTAAAGTTTTTTCCAGGTCCCACCACATTGTAAGAAGATAATGGTCTTTATGACACAAAGCTTTTCTCATGACCTTCATACCCACTCCAAAATTAGGAGATGAATAACCGGTCCCATCTAACATGTGACCCTAACCATGATGGGAATCATGCATAAGCACCTCCTGTGAACAAGCTCAAATAAAATCCCTTCAAGGGAGATAAAAAAAAACCCTCACCTCTGTTCTCATTTTCCAGGACTTCTCCTGCCTGGGAGCTATTCTCTCCTTCTATTAAACTCTCTGATTTGTTATCCCTTCTGTAAGTCTGTGTCTCTAATTCTTTGTGAGCATGAGACAAAGAATCAGGTTCACTGCTATTCATGCATTGTATGCTGGGTCCACCCACCCCAACTTCCTGCATCGTTGTGAGTTTTGCAGGGGCTCTTAGGGAGTTGCTTCTTTCTTTATGCTATCATGTAGCATTCTTGCATTAGCTCCATCATTATTGTCAGTAATATATGATATTTATTGCATTGGTTTTTACACCTAATATTCTTCTAAGAAGTTAACTTGCATTTTCTCATTTCAATCTCACAGTAGTTCATGAAGTAGATGTATGAGAAAAGATAGAGAAATTAAAACACTTGCTAAAATTCACAGTTGGTAAATGATAAAAGTATCATTTAAACTGGTGTAGCTTGACTCCAGAGACCAACAGTCCACAACTATGATCCCCCACCTCACATATTTATGTGACCTGTTACCAGTATTCCAAGTAGTTAAGAGCACAAACTCTACAGAGAAACTAACCAGGTTCAAGTCCCAGTTCAGCTGCTCTTCAGCTGTGTGACCTTGAAAAAATGGTTAAACATCTCTGGGCCTCAAATATATATGGTCTACAAAATAAGTCTAATAATACCTGCATCCTAGGATTGATGTGAGAATTTTCTGTGAAGATAAGAACAGTGCCAATACATATTAGCTAATTATCTTACTCAACCCTGAACTTCTTGAGGGTAGAGGCTATGTGTTTTCATGTCACAATGTCAGACACAGTAAATGAGAAAATGATAGAAGAAATAAGTGAATAAATAAATTAATAATAGGATATTATATTGAATTTTAAAAGACTGGAGTCATCCTTCCTGTGTGCTCATTCTGGTTTTCCTCTGAAAGATAGGTATGTGCAGTGATAACTAAGGCTTTAATTAATTTTCTCTCTAAATTTCATAGCAGACTCCAAGGATAGGTTTATGCCTCTAATGTGTTTATGCAGAATTTTGAAAAATCTAAACATTATGTTAGAATTCCCATGTCTTCCTTTTAATGCCCCTGAAGAAACCAACAGGGATTTTTACCTGAAACACATCAGTAGGACTGGGTGTTTATGTATTCTGATGTATGGTGACAAGTAAATGGACATCTTCTAACCTAAGAGGTGATCCGAATTTATCATCTCCCCAAAGGAACTTTAAGTTAGAAGAGAATCCCTGTTATCTAATCACTCTCTTGTGTTCTGGCAGAAACAGGGAAGTAATAGCACTCAATGTCATTTATTGTCATGTTTTCAGGGATCCACTAGGAGATGTGGAATTTAGCATTGAAAACTTTACACAAGATCTTTGTTTCTTTCCACATAAATCTTTCTTCTTTACTTTCTTTCTTTCTAACTCGGTATCTTTTCTCAATACCTAGAACAGATAGGTGGACTCTGTTAGAAGCCAAAAGTGAGGGAGGTCTTCAAGTGACTAAGCCATTAATTTTTCAGGTAAGGAAACTAGGGCATAAAAAAGGCTACTGTGAAATGCTCACTGCCATTAGGCATAGAACTAGAAGAAAGGCATTTCTTCCTTTGAGCAATCTTTGAGCCTTGTGTGTATTTCTACTATTGCATGAACGTCACTGCATTTCAATTGTTCCCATGACATTCTCCAACGTTCATTTGACAGATCTGTGTCTATTATTCTGAAAGCTGTGGATATAGAACTGTGATTATTTGACCCCCAGTAGAAATAGACTAACAAAGTAAAAAGTCAATCCTTACAGCAATCTCTCTTTAATTATCTTAATTATCTTAGACATGGTCTCTGCCCTCACAAAAATGTTAATCACAGCACTTACCAACCATTTTGATAATTACAGTTTATGTATACATCCTCTCTTAGACCTCAAATTCCCTGAAAACAAGATCCATGCCTTGTCTATCATTGAATTGCAACTGCCTGGCATATTATCCAGCTAATAATAGCATTCAATTTTTCAGAAAAGTAAACATGACTTATTTTAGGATATTTTCCAATATATCATCTTGTGAGGAAAAAAAATCTTCAGCATTTTTCATGTATTGGGATACTTTAAGGATTATAAAAACAGCTACTGCATATCATTTTAAGTACTTCTCTGTAATACTCTGTGACATTTAATATTACCTCACCTTCAATGCAAAATTACAGGATTCCCATTCCATAGATAAGCGTTGACTTGAATAAACTACTTGCCCAATGTCACATGACTTCCAAGTGACAGGACCTGGATTTGAGTTCACATCTTACTTTCTGCAAAACTTACATCCTTTCCACTCTGTCCCTAGCATTTCTAATAATGACAGAACTGTAGAACAATGTTCTTCTTTCTAAACAAGAGGCACAAACATTTAGGCTTCTAGGGTAGCTATGGATGCTTTAAAGCAAGCAGAAGACACCTCCTGGTAAGCAGAACTTATCCAATAGTCACAGTAAGAGATATCCACCTATTACTTGAATGTGTTAGAACTATCAGACTCCCAATATAGTGTCTGAAATTTAAGGAAAAACTTTAAGCACCACTGCCCCTACTTATTACATAAATACTTTCTTTAGAAATCACAAATCAAAGTGAATGAGATCAATTTAAATTTGTAAGACATCCATAAAAATAATTATTGACCCTTGTTACAGCCTGCTCTAATTGAACATAGTTAAAAATTGGGGGCTTTAGGAAGTGTAAGTTTTTCTCATTGTTAGAGTTAAACTTTTGTTTATAATATTCTGGGCCAATGATCATATTTCAGATAATACAAAATAAATATTTATATAACTTAACCTTATTGTTAGAAACAACTTCAAAAATTTGGTCCAACTCTTTCATAGCCTATACTCTAGCTTTGAGTATATTGTCAGTAGATCAGTTACAACACTTAAAAAGATGGCACTCCACCTATTTTTAATTCCCAGATGGAGTAATAAGTATTACAACTACATCTCTGTGGAAAATCCTTGGACAGAAATACAAATGCATTTGTAGGAGGAATTGTATTTTTGATAGCCCATGTGTAATAATCATTACTAAAAATTCACTAAGATTCATTGACTCATGGGAGTAAGTGTGGCCTGGGTGATATAAATAGCTCATATTTATGGAAAGCTTTTTTTTTTTTTTTTGAGCCAGGCATTATAAGTACTCTTCATGAATTTAATGTATGTCTTCTAACAACTCTACAAGGTGATTCTAATCAACTGGCAAGGTGGAGTAAGGATTTAACTCAGATATACATCCCCAAGAGTTTACATACTTACCTGCTATGCTGTATTGATCACAGAACCAGTGCTTTATTTTGCCATGAAGAAACAGCCCAAAAGGTATTAAATGGCAGGTCAAAGGACACAGGTCTACACAGTTGACCTTAGCCCCTTGTTCTATTGATCCTTAGGCAATGCAATTTTCTCTTTCCTCTACTTGTGTTGTTCACTCAGGACTGAGTTCTCACATTCTCATAACATATTTTTCTGCTCCATTCTCCATATTTGCAGTAACATGATAACACTTACCGGTACTGGACTGAACAATTCCTGAGTCAACTGTTTGTCCAAGAAGATCATACTGATTTAGGCGTGACCCATCCTCTGCCACAACCACTGAACGTGCTGGCTCTCTGGTCCACTCATAAACTACTTCTGCTCTTGTATAAGCATCTAAAGGGAAGGAATAGAAAATTATCTGTGTATTTTGTCCCTTTGATTCTTCTAGTTAGTGGGTTTTTTTTTTCAGCTTTGTATTTTCTATCTCTTGGCTCAAGAGAAACCTAAGAAAGGAAAGCTTTATTTTGCATTTTCCTAAAAAAGCAGTTGAAAGATGACAGCCATATAACTCACATTATCTTTGAGTTATCTGGCCTTATGGAGAGGGCATCACTCCTAACCAGCAGCACCGACCATCAGAATCTAATGGAAAGTGATAGAATAACATTTGCTTTTCCAAGTTTGGTTCTACCAATGGCTATAGATCAGGTTGCTTCAGAAGCTTCATAAACATTAATTATACTGTTTCCACTAAATTAGTGAAAACTTCTCTTAATTATCCTTTTCTCAGATATTTTAGCAAGGTGTTTGACCCAAAACTTGGGTCAAAAAATGTTTAGCCCATTTTCAATTCAGTTTCTTCATCTATAAAATATACTATACTAATTGGGCAATGTCGGAGGAATGACTAGACATCCAGTTGTCCTCCACCACCTCTTCTTTTTATTTTTTTTCTTTTAGAAAATGTTTGCCATTGGGTGTAAGCTCTCACTTGAGAGAGAAAAAGGGAAATTGAGAAATCATCCCTGAGGGAAGATGGCCACTTTGTAATCCCATCTCCTCTCAGGATTTTGGGCACACGCAAACCTGTACCTGGTGTGATTTTCAAACTGCCAAGTCCAGGGTCCAAACTCTGGTTGGCCATATGGGAACCTAGCACCTTACCCACCACACCACCTGCTGGCCCAGAGCTGTCTCTTCTTCTGCAAATGTCAGGTAATGCTCAGTGGTTCCAGGGCTCTGAGCAAGACCAACTAACCTTGTGTTTCAATGTCAAGTCTTCTCTGCTTATGTCTATTTTCCCACAGGTCTTAAAACATTTTTTGAAGCTTACACTTTGAAGAGACATTTGAAACCTAACTCGTATTGTTCAATAATGTATCAATAATATTTATGGAGCACCTACATTGTATTAGCCTCTGTGCCAGGAAATACTGAACAAAATACAACCTGCCTTCATAGAGGTTACTCTCCAGGCAATAAAGAATGTCAACCAGTCAGTAAAGCTAATAATTATTGCTGTAATAAGTGACATAAAATAAACATTCATTGTGATCAAGAAGTCTGGTGGGGCTGTAGGTAAATTCTGATAAGGTCACCAGGGGAGGCCCAAAGAGATGATACAATGCTGAAATATGGAGATGAAGAAGCCAGCTGTGCTAAGAATCACGGAAGAATAAACCAAGCAGAGAAAAGACTGTGTGTAATGGCTTTGAAGTGCATAAAAGCCTATTCTTTTCTTTAACTTTAGTTTTCTTGTAAAAGACATTATTTGTTTTCTACTCACTCGCCATTTCCTTCTTCCTAAAACAACCTCAATAATCTTTAGTTGAACAATATGCCCAGGTGAAATATTTACTTGCAAGTCTACTTTGCAAATACCACTAGCAATGTGACTCACTTTTGATTAATAAGTAGAATTTTGTTAGGATTGTATGAGAAATTAGGATTTAGAGGAATTTTTGCTATTAGAGGGCATAGACTCTCACCAGAGAGAAAGAGACAGAAAGTGAGAAATCACCCTCAGGGGGGATGGCCACATCACAATCCCTTCTCCTCCAGTCTAAACTTGTTGTTTTGTTTTGTTTTCTTTTTGGAGAGGTTTTTGCTATAGGGCGCGTGCGCTCACCAGACAGAGAGAGACAGAGAGATAGACAGCGAGAAATCACCCCCCATGGGGGATGGCCACACCACAATCCCTTCTCTTCCATTCTCCTCTTGGGATCTTGGGCACGCATGCACACGCGCCATGCGTGAGTTTTAAGCCACCAGGTCCGGGACGCGAACCGCGGTCGACTATGTGGAAGTCCAGCGACATAGCAATTACACTAACTGCTGGTCCCTTATCTTCGGATTTTGAGCATGCACACACATGCACCCAGTGTGAGTTTGAAGCTGCTAGACCCAGGACTGAAACTGGGGTCAATTACACGGTAGCCCAGTGACATGAACATTATACCATCTACTGGTCTTGAAAACTTTTTTTTTTTTTTATACAATCACTACTCCTTTCTTCCTCACCAACGATTCCCCTTTATCTTGAAAGCAAATACCATGGGTGAAGTTGCAGCAATCATCTTGTGACGAGAAAGCACAAAACATCAGCTTTGTTAAACTACTGAACCAACCAGCAAAAAAACAATAATCATTTGCCTTCATATATTTTATTTGAAAACATCAAAGCTTCTTTATTTCAGCTATCCTCACTGTTGAAAGCATTCTTGATTAATTTTTTTTAAATCATATTTTTGAAGGTAAAAGGGGGCAAATTTAGTAGTTACAATTTGGCACAAATTAATAAGCATCAGGCAAACCATGATCATCTCTGTAACTAGAAGGTTATGCTGTGGCTTAGATGAGCTTATTATGTGTAAATATTTATACTGCATGGTAGCAACATATAGCATATAATATATATGATTATTGTTAAACATGTAACAAGTAAGGGCCAGGTGCTGGTGAGTAGTAACATAACTCTCTGCAAGGCTGACCTATATGGGAAGGTTCTGTGTTCATATCAGGTGACCTCTTAGCAAACTCGGTATGCATTCCCATAATTTGGGGCTAGCTAAAGCTAGGGGTTGATCATGGTGTGAAGGTTATATTTAGGTTGCCTGTCTCTGTATTTCTCTTCCTCCCTTCCTCTCCCTGTCTCTCTCACTTATGGGAAAAAAGAAAGAAACAGACTTAAAAAGAAAGTGGAATATTGGTAGGCAGGACAAAAAAAATAAAAAGTCTGTGATATAAACTTTATATTAAATTGCGAACAGGATGGAGAGAAGGGAGTTATCACCAAAGGCCTGTTTAGATGACAGCTTTTGAAGTCGTTTATCCTTGGATTTCAGCAGAGAATGAGATTTATAAATAGAGAAAGTTGTCTCTCGGTAACTAGTGCTGCTAGGAGCCCGAAGGCCCTTTGCTATTTCTTTGCTTGCTGTCTTCCTACACTACCACTATTTTTCTTCTATGAATCATATCTTCACCGAAATAGTTGCTCAGACTGCCTGTCTAGTGAGAACAGAAAGCTGGCTAGGTAGTACAGGAGTTGACTCAGTCCTTGTAAGTAACTCCTCTGCAGGAAACTAGGAGTGCATTTTCCCCACTTGCTTTATGCAAGCATGCTAGTCAAAAGCAGAAGCGTAGACAGAAGACGAGAGAGTCTGGCTTTTCTACCGCCGTTCTCTTCGCTTCTTTGAGGTGTGCCCGAATGTTTTCAAACAGCTGAAAACCCAGAAAGGAATCATAGAGATTTATCTAGGACACCTTCAAGAGCATTTGTATATACATAAATTCAATGGAATAACCAAACATCCAAAACTTTTCTATGACTGTGATTAGAGTAAATCCTTTACTGGAAACATCTGTAGGTGTAGGCTTCACTATTAAGAAACTTCTATTTATTGACCTTTGCCAGCTACCAATATTTCCTACCAATATTAATTTAAACAAGCTAAATTAATCTCAAGATCAAATAAGTCTCAGTAATGTTATAAAACAAACAGTGTTCTCCATTTATTGAGAGGAAAACATTATCCATGAGGTACAAGCATTCACCCTAGCCTCTACTCCTTTTTATAGGAATATGACTTAAGTGAAAATAGAATGTTTTCACTAAATAATTTAATCCATGTTTTCTAGTCCAGCAGACAGGGAATAATCCCTATCTTCAAATAACACTGCAAAGTGAAACCAAGGATTACTCCATATGGAAAGGCCTTACAGAATATTGCTATTTAAATTTTCTTGATGCCCTTATCTGTCTCTCTAAGACATAACTAATTGGAATCTCTTTCTTAAAGACTTAAATCTCTCATGAGAATAATCCAAAGTAAACATACTCACAGCTTCCAAATTTTAGTGGGCAGGCATGAGCATCCATAGGGAAGTCCTCTAAATGCATTGGGCATTCAGCTCTCACCGTCAGCCTTATTAATTAGAAGAAATACAGGATATAAACAAAAGCCCTAGAGATTAGATAGTTTCTGATAAACACAACTGGGTTGTTATTAATTGTAGCAAATATATTAACAAAGCAGAGGAGAAAGGCATGAACTACAGAACTATACTAAGTTGTTGATAACCAAATGATATAGAAACATTACTTATGTCAATGACTGGATTTTATCCATATTTTGTTTCCTTGGAGAAAAAAGGCAACACCTGATTTTGTATGATGGCAAGCATTGCCAATGTTTTCCAAAAGAAGTGCCATCAATGAGTCCACCTAGCTACTAAAAGTTCTTGAGAATAAAACTAGATGTCAGCTAATACATACTTACTTGAATACAATTCATCCTTAGTTGAGAAGAAGACATGCAGCAAGAAAGAGAAGCAATTTCTTCTGTCCTAAGTGAATCTCGATCTACCTCATTCCCTAAAATAGCACTGAATGCATAAAATAATTAAGATATCGGTGAAGGAGGAAGTATCCTCAGGATTTCTAGGATGGAGAGTTTTGTAAAGTCACCCTGAGAATTTATGTGTGAACACACTACATTCCAACCATTTATATTATTTTTTTTAATTTAAGGTTTTGTTCCACAAGGCATGTGCACTTGCTGGAGAGGAGAGAGACAGTGAGAGGGAAAGTGAGAAATCACTCCCCAGGAGATGGCTATACCACAGTTGCTTCTGCCCCATTTTCCTCCTGGGATTCTGAGCATGCCAGCACATGTGACTGGCATGATTTTCAAGCCTCCAGGTATGGGACTCAAACCATGGCTGGCCATGTGGAAGTACAACACCTTAATCACTACGCCAACCCCACAACACCCAGTTAGATTTATTTACAAATACATGGCCCAATTGATGTAAATACTCAGCAATGCTACTTTTTAGTCCCTAGGATGTTCTGAGAAGATGGATTCGATGCCTTTTTTTTTTTTTAGGATTACTTAGAAAAGAATTTACTGAAATATGTTTGCTCTCCATTTGTAGAATTATTAAGGAATTGATATAGATTTCCCTCATATGCTCTTCTAGCAAGTACACTTACTCATGTTATTAAATAGCTCAAAAAATGTGATAGGATAGCTTTACAGCTTGCAAAATCATTAAATAACTGTAATACTGATAAAAGTAAACATAAAATGTATAAGTTAAGTATTAGATTACATTCTTAAATCAAACTATTAATGAAAGTTTATAGCACATATGCAAAGGTGGTAAGAAATTTAGTATATAGATGATATAGGCTGGTTATTCATGAAGACCATTGCATATATTAGAAACCATTAACTGCTGAAATATTCCAGATATGTAAATTTCTCTCTTGAAAACTGCTACTTAAGGAGAACTGGATTTAGCCTCACAGATAAGTGTAGGGTATTTCACCAGGGGAGAAATATTTCAATTTTTTTTCAATTTTTTTTATTTCAGTTTTTGCTATAGGACATGTGTTCTTTCCAAAGAGCAGAAGATAGAAAGAAAAAGTGAGAAATCATCCTCCAGGGGGATGGTCACATGCCAGTCCCTTCTCCTCTATTCTCTTCTCAGGACTTTGGGCATGCACACCCACAACTGAAGTATTTTAAAGCCGTTGAGTCCAAGACTCTAGCCATGAGATTAGCCATGCAGAATTCAATGTCTAAACCACCACACCACTGACTAAACTTCAAATTCTGAATATAAATAAAATTTTCTTGGATATATGAACAGGTCCCAACACATATGTCCATTAGTCTCTATTTTCTTTCTTATATTTGTTTATTTAAGTCCTGTTACACCTTATCTAGTTGTGTCCAATATCTAAAGTGACTCAACGTCTTTTTTTTTCTTTTCTCTTTGGGTGTTTGTATATTAAAGGCTAAGCCTCTGGCAGCTTTCTTCAAAAACAAAATATCCCTCTATTCCCATGCTAAATACAATCCACTAGATTGAAGATGTTGCCTTTATTATCTTTTTATACCAAAGGAATAACTAGACAGGCTGAATTATCAAGCGCTGGCCAGTTCTACAAAAACAACATTCTAACAAGTCACTTGGGAATAAAACACTGCTGTCCTCAAGAATGAGTTCTGGACAATTCTTAACTACTCATAAGTTAGGAATATTTTGAACACCTTTTTTCTTCTCTAAAAATATTCACAACTTTGATTCATATTTCCTTCATTCAACCATAAATATACTGAGAACTTCCTAGATGCTGGCCTCTGCAGTAGTCTCAAAAAGGGAGAAATGCTTATAAACATATAGATGATAGATAGGTAGATAGATAGATAATAGAGATAGATAGATAGATAATAGATATAGATAGATGATAGATAGTTGTCAGTTTAAGCAAAATTAACAACATCAATATTCTCAGATTAGCTAACAATACCATTGTGAATTTATGTTTTTTAAATAAATATTTCCACATGAATCTATTTTTTAAGAATTTTGTAACTTTTCTATTTTTTTCGTTGTTAATATTATTTTATTATTTTTTAAGCTGCCTAAGGGTGGAAGCATTCACTAGAGAAAGGGAAAGGGAGACAAAACTCCCAATGGGACATGGACACACTCCAATCGCTTCTGCCCATTTCGGCATAAAGTTTGAATTGGGAGCCTGAAGTGTTTTTCAAGCCGCCCAGGCTGGAATTTAAATTGTGGTCGGCCACGTTGTATCTATCTCCTTAAACTAGTAGGCGGTGGAGCTGGCCCTGTTCCTTTATTTTTTAGTAGAAACACTTTCAGATATTCACTGTTAGATAGCTCTAGAAACTTTATCTAGATCTTACTGGAATACAGGACTAAAGATATCTATAGCAGGGTGAGGAAGTTCTTTATACTGTATTAGAGCAAGCTGAAGAGATAATCATGCTATATTGTATTACTTAAATTATATTGTAAGCAATGTTTTTCTTTTTCTTTCTTTTCTTTTTTTGATTTTTACCATTTTTGATTTTAGGGTGTGCATGCTCACCAGGGACAGAGAGAGAGAAATCACCTCCTAAGAGATGGCCACTCCTCAATCATTTCTCACTGGTCTCCACTTGGGAATTTGGGCACACATATGCTCACATGCCAGGTGTGATTTTTCAAGCCACCTGGTCTAAGACTCAAATCCCATCATCAGGAATGTGGGAATCCAGTGCCTTAAGTATTACTTAGCCACTATGCCACCTGCTGGCCCATAATTTTTCATTTTTTATACTCATTTAACATTGTAGTGCATGAATAACATTTCAGCAAGTTTAGATTTCATAGACACATTTTTTTTTGAGAGAGAGAGATTTTTTTGCTATAGGATGCACATGCTCACTGGAGAGACAGAGAGAAAAAGTGAGAAATCGCCTGTTGAGCACGTTGCAATCCCTTCTCCTCAGTTCTCCTCTCTGGATTTTGGGCATACACACACTCATTTCCAATGTGAGTTTCAAGCCAGTGGGTCCAGGACTCAAACCATAGTCAGCCATGTGCAACCATGGTCAGCGCTTTTACCAGTATACCACCAGCTGGCCCCATAGACAAATAATTTTTAACGTTGAAAACAGGAAAGCAAATATTCCCCCGGGACAATCAGCTTGATAAATGCCTACAAGCAAGAGAGAAAGAAGCACAGAAGGACCATGAGCAGAAGTGTACTTGTGCTTACCTCATGGTGTACAACAAAGTGCCATCTTCTGTGATCCGCAAAAGTTTATTGGGCATGGTCATGTTGTGAGCCACTGACTTCTTTCCGTTGTGAAAAAAGGTATCTGGAGTCCAGATTTTACTTGCCATTAGGTTGTTTAATCGGAGGACCGTCATGGGTCCTTTAAATTTTAACCTTTCATCTTTCCAGCTTTGACGGAAAAATACATCTATTGTATATTCCTAGGAAATTTTGGAAAATAGCAAAGAGTTCATTGTGCTATATTTTGCAGTGAAAATATCTTACACAGAAAATGCATTTTTGCAACTTTGGAAGCAAAATGTGAGCGAGGTGATGTTTCTATAAGTAAACTTCTAGTAGCGTGTACATCTTGGTGTCTGGTGAACCATTATTTGGTATAGTGATTTTTAAACATTTCTAAGATGTCTGAACTAGTTTGGTTTGAAATATTTTGCCAATTATCTCCTCAGATGTGAGCAAGAAAAATAACACCTCATCTCTACCGCTCTCCCACCTACACTATGCCAGTCCTAGAAGAAACAGACTTTATTTCAACTAAAAAACAAATTTATATTGGAAGGTATTATGTGCAGCAAAATGTTTAAATTATTCCAGTCATAGAATGTATCATTTTGGGGGAACCTCCCATGGTCTCTGAAAACATCATACCTAAACCCAAATCAATGTTGGTTCAAATAGAGCTATAAAAATCCCTCTTCTTTTTGCTAAGTAAACATTTTTTTTTTTACAATTAATGTATATAGACTTTCAATTCTCCAACACAATGAAGATTATAAGAAATCATTTCCCCTGGTAACTTGGCCCTTTTCCAAAACATAAGTGTAGATTGTATGGGTGTCTGTGAGTGTGTGTTTGTGATTGTATGAATCACATGAGAAACGTGTGAAGCTCATCATCATTCATAGCTGAGAAACATATCTATTTGAATAAACATAGCATTCCTTATGGCAGTACCCAGAGACAAACATCTGCTAAACGGAAAACAAGCAATATGACTTACCAGCTCCTAAAATCAAAAACGGTAATATCTATCTTCCTTGCAGCACTTGTTAAACTGGCAATAATTTGAAACTCAATGGTTTGAACTAAAGATTACCATATTCTCCATTAATCTTAGTATGTGCCAAACCTGAAAGAAGCCTAACTTGAAAACGTCATGCTACATTTTCCTAAGCCTCCAAGCCCTGTTGCATCAGAAAGCAGTTTTAATCTTATCATTTTTAGAATATCAAAATAAGTAATATCTCTCCATAGGCATTTTGTGCATGAATATAACTACTTGTCTCTTTCCCAGGGTTTAAATAAGACAGAGTGAAGACTACATAAAGATACATCTTTCCAGCACACATTCGACATTGCTGAGCCGTTAGAGATAAAGAACTAACAATTCTATTTGAATGGTTTATAATGCACCAGGCATAGTGCTAATTGCTAACTGATAGAAACAAGGAAGGGTAACATAATACCGGTATGTCTTTGTAGACAAGACAAGTTACCTTGTTTGTTGATTAGATTTTCTGTGTTTCGAAGTGTCTGATGAAAGACACTGCAACATAGATAAGAATTTACTCACCAAGAAACATTTGTTAGACATCTGTTGAACTCAACAGAGAAAGAGATGATTTAAGCCTGGGTGTTACAAGAAAAACTCATGGAGGAGTAGGATGGGCATAAAATGTTATTTTCCATAAGGAAAGAAATGAGGAGGAAGAATATGGACTCTATCAGGAAGTGGCAGTGTGGAAGTGGTTGTCAGGGGAGCAGGATGGATAGACCTAGTTATGGGCTCAGTGTGTTCTCCTCTCTGGACAACAGACAAGGTGTGAGGTAGAAATATGATATGTGACTTTACCTCTGTACTAAAGACCAAGACATATGAATTCTATTCTCTATCCAATTGAACTGTTCTAGACTCTTCAACAGTAGAAGGTAGGGTCATTTGTATGTCAAGATTCCAAGGATGTTTAAGTTGACCATGTTTCCATGAATCTAAATGTTTGGTTCAATTGTTTTCTTGATTCAAGGAAGAGGCTTTTGAAACTAAGTATTAAGTATAAAATAAAACACCTATTATCACATCTTTGACAAGATATCTTTTGAAGGCTATGATTTCAAACAACTATGTCAAAATGTGTCCAAATCCTGATTTTTACATATTTATCATGTTTACCACCAGATGTATTGATTAGTGCTAACAGCAGACGATGACAGTTCCAAGTTCATTTAAGACTTTCTCCCTTCAAATATTATATAACGTGTGCACACACACAAACGTAAGAGAGAGAGAGAGAGGAAGAAGACGAAGCAACACTAACTGGATAAGCTTCAATTCCATTTTTCCTTCTATTAGAGGTAGAAGCAAAACATGAAATAGAAGCAGTGAATAATAATCAGCCCCTGCCTGATCAAGAGAATAAATATTTGGCCTTCTATTTTCTAAGAATTGCCCTTAAGTGATTACCATGGTAGCTGCAGGTGGCTTTGGTAGCTATCTGTGTAGCATGACCTTGCCCCAGTGGTCATAGTTTACTATGGGTGTATGGACCAAGAGTGTATGGACCAAGATGGATCAGAGTCTTTTCTTCAGGAATAAGAGAGTGAAGAGGGTCAGAACCAGAGGTTAGTGCTTAAAAATAGGAGTTTTGAACCTGCTGGCTGAAAGGACTCAGGTCATTCTTTACCCTCAGTATAGTCCCACTTTCCTAATTGTGGAAGAGTGGAAAATTCACTTGACTACTGTGAGAACTGATTTAATACTCATAAACAGTTTTCAAGAACACCTAGAACTTAGGAAGCTTTTAGTAAATGTCAAAGATTAGTATTTGTCTCCCATTCTATTATTTTATCAACACCTACTTATATAAAATTTCTATGTAACTGGGAATGAAAAAGCATTTTTTTGGAAAGATTGTAAGACAAGAAACTTGAGGAAAGTGAAAAGGTAGTCAACATTAAGTAAAATAAAAGCAGAATGCAATAGAGGAGACTTTGCTGAAGAGGGCCTGAATAGAAAGGTTGGCTGAAGAATCCGTTCAAGTGTAAGAGTTCCAGCCCCTGCCACGCAAGTGTAATGTCTCTCTGAGTTACTTTGCTCAATAGAGAAGTCCCTGGAGAATGTGAGCCTTATTCTGAAGATCTGGGACAAACATCCCCTATGTTACTAAATAAATATTGCATTGAAGTGTCCCTGCTTGCACTATTATTACCATCTGTGTGTGCTTTGATTTAATACATTTTAAGCACTACAGAAAACAAGGCCCTGTGATTGTGCTGCCCGGATATTTCTGTCAGAACCTAGTGCCCTGGGAATGTGCTGTTTGATTGCCAATTAATGGTTTTTAAAATAAAGTTAAGAAGTTGTCCTAATTTTGTTTTCTATTCCAGATTAGTCAGATGCCTTGGGAACTAAGTCCCTAGAGCCAGATGGCCTGAGTTCAAGTTTCCACACTTAGCTAGTGGGTCACTTTCCCTTTCTAGAATATGCAAATGATACTTATCAGAAAAAGGTTGGCATGAGGTTTGGATGAAATATGATCCATAAGGACGTTAGCATGGTGCTTAACATATCGTAAACATTCAATAATGTTAAGTGTTGTTATAGTCATTAGTATTAATCAGATATTGTACTAGTTATCACTTTAAAATCTAGAAAGCTTTTCCTGTTTCGAAAAGTAGCTTTGCCCTTTTGCCTTCTAATTTTGTCTGCCTTTAAATCCTCCTGCTTCTTCTTATGTGTAATTCTTACCTAATATGGCTTAAATGGTTAATCTTCTAAAGCAAGGTGATCAGGTAGCATTTCCACTAAGTCACTTAGGAAATCAGTTATAGGCCTATGGATAATTTGATCCTTTGCCCATTCAAATACTGTCTGGTCTAGAATTTTAGGCAATAGTTTACTTGCCTTGAACACTCTGTTCTTATTTGATTTTTGACCTAACGTTACATAGGAAATACAGTTCATAATAACTACAGAGTTAATGTGGTTAAAAATCCTATTGTGCACCTCCTGAGATAAAAACAAACAAACAAACAAAAATTCCTTAGGCCAAAATTAATTAGAATTAGTAAGTCAAAGGCATACAAAATGTTTTTGTTCGTTTTTTTTTTTTTTTTTCAGGAAAATAATAGTTTTTGGTCACATGTGGCTTCATTTGGGCACTGACCTATGGAACAGCTGCTCCTGGCAAGGCACCATGCCAGGTGCCAAAGACAGAACGCATAGTCACCTTTTATTTTTAAATTACTATCAGCAGTAGCACTAGGAGTGTTATTATCATGTCTGTAATCTTCATCTCCTCTCGTGGTGATTTAATTGATGAGAAAAGAAGTTTTGCCTGCAAAGAATTTCTGGATTTGCTGATTCTCCCACATGCTTCTGGGGAAGGAGCAATGGAGTCATTCAATCTGATGAGTGAATTTGGATGGAAAAAATAAGTCTTGTGTATCTCAGCCCTTTCCTCTTGTCTTTTCCATTTTGAATGCTTGCTGTCTATAAGACCGACTAATTCTGCTCCTCTTCCTCTGTGCTAAAGTTTTATGTGGACCATCTATACTGAAGCAGAGAGAAGTCAACACTGTCACTGGGTAGGGGGGGTGAGGGTGTGTGGTTAATCTCATTGATTCTGATGCTTGCTTTCTGCTAATCCACCTGTCTGCAGACATTAACTACATTCTGCAATATGATCATAATCATGATATAGATGTTATTCCCATTTCCCATGATCAGTTGACTTCCTTCTCAAGGAGTTCAGAACTCAGACAGAAAAGAGGATGTAATTTCCTGGGTTCCATAAAACTCAACTTTTTAAAAGATAATGTATGTAGTCTCCTAGACAAATCGCCAAATTTTAACCCTCTAAACCAGTGAGACACTGATACTATGTGGGCCGAGTGTGTCTTTATGGTTTTTGGCATTAATTTATAAAAATAAGACATTTATTTATATCAGAAAAATAGTTTTATGAAGCAACACAATGTGTATGTGGTCAAAAATTGAACTGTATTTTATAGTCAATAAATGGATTAGAATGCAAAATGGAAAAGTTAATTTGTTATTGGATTAATAAAAATTGATTTCATCAAGCATCTGTGTCTTGATCTGGGTCCCTGCAGAAATATAGGATTTAGATGGCTGGAGAAAAAAAAGAAATTTCCATGAGATCTACAAGACATGATAAGGGGCTTTGAAGCAAAAATAATAATAGCTATTACTTACTGAGCACTGTTGATAAGTACTCTATTTACCTAATCACTTAAAATTCATGACAATCTTAGAGGTATCAGCAACTATATTAACATTTGAGATACTTTGAGCCTTAGACACTTAAAACAATTTGCCCAAGGTCATGCTGCTGGTAGTGGTAAGATTTAAGTTGGCTCAGTTCACATCCTAGAGCCAATCTGAATTCACAAGCTATATTGCCTCACAGAAAGCAGGACTCAGAAGAGAGCCTAAAACAAATCATTTATATTGGAAACACATGAAAGAGAGCAACAAAACTATCTGTGGATTGTATGGAATACAGACAGAAGAGTTGGCATCTGACCTGAAATCTGATTAGGACCTATTTTTAATTACAAAAGTACCATGAGAGAATAGCGTCAAGGGAAGACAGTTCTTGCATGGGAGAACTACAGTGGGTCCTCAAAGAATGAGCCAGAGATACTCTATCACACAGTATTTCAATAAAATAGTCTCCAGACTGACCGTAACGATGAACTGAGTTGTCAGATGACTAAATCCACAATTGTGGTTGAACTTTATATTTCTATTTTTTGCACGGTAGTAATGGCAAACATTTGTCAAGTGTTTATTATATGCCAAGAATTGTTTTAAGCACTCTTCATGTATTAATTCATTTAATACTTGGAATAGCTCCAAGTGTATTACTACTACTTCCATTTTTGTACATGAAAATATTGATCCAGTGAGGTCTTAAGTGAAGAGACTCCTCCAAGAATATACTGGGCTGAGTGAAGCAGATGAGATAATAAGTCCAGCTAACCTGGTTCAGAAATCTGTTGTATAATATTTCACATACTCCATTGGCTTTTATTTGGATAGTTGGTATGTTTTAAAACTTGTCCTATATCCAATATCTAGTTACCCCTTAGGCCAATATTTCCCAATGTTAAAGTCAATGAATACTACATTTACAGAATGATAGTGGCATCTAAAGATAACAAAAGATTTTGGACAAAAGCGATTGGAAAACAATTGGTTAAATAGAGTCAAACAGGCTTCACTACCTCAGGACTTGTTAGAGTTTCTACCCTAAGATAGATGCACTTCCATAGTTTTAGAAATGCTGGCCCAACTCGATATTTTCTGTAACTGTTATTCTAAATCTCTCTGAACTACTATGAAATCAAAGAACTTTTACAATAAGATACTGACAAAAAGACATTTCAAAACTAATGCTAAATTAGTATATCTTTAAAATATTCATCATGATATGCCTTTGTGGCCTCTTTATGATGTTTTGCTTATATAGAAGCTTGGCTGTTATGAGTTCAGATATATTATATAATATCTGCAGAGCTCTACAGATTTACCTACTCCCATCAGATAGGACAGAAATTCATGTTAATTTATTTGGGTTGGGAAAAGAGAAAAGAAGTATGTATTCAACTTACTTTTGCTAATAATTAAATGAATGCCTTTTGCAATGAAGCAATGATGGTTTTTAATTTAACTGTTTCTTAGTCTAATTCTGGTCAACTATTCATTCAACTTTTATTCTAGTTTTCTCCTTAGACCCCAAAACATTTCAGAAATCATGATGTTTATGGCTATTCCATAACACTACTGGCTACCTGAAAACCTGTAATCTTCAAATCAACATGGCCTCCTAACTAGAATGAAAGGTAACTCGCTACATGGCTTGTAGAATGTAAACGAAGATAAAACCATCGTTTCAGGGATGAGAAAAAGGAGACTGCAGTGGTTGGTGATTACAAAAATAGGTTTGATCTGGTAGTAAATGAGTACTTTTCTATTATATAAACAAATTACATATATATATATAGACATTACATATTACACACACACAGACACAAAGATATAATCTAACCATTCAGGTTGCACCTTAAGTATATACTTTATGTTATTTTTCTAGAAGTTAAACTTAAAAATACCCCAAGAAAATGAAAGATGCAGTGACACTTACCATATCATGGTCTGAAACAGGTCCAAAACTGGTGACGAAGATGTCAGTCTTCACCTCGGTTACACGCTCTGATGAAGCAGGAAATTGGGCCAGTGAGTGTCTATCAACAGCCCTTATTAGATCTCACCACCACACATTCACACCCAAATGGGAAACTTATTGACTTTGATTAGCTATTTCTAAAATTGGTCCACTGTGTAGTCCTGATAATTTACTGCTTACACATGAAATTTCACAGTTAATATTTTCAATGGAGAACAGAACCTAAATATGCCACTTTGGGAGGCAGACTTTATAAAGAACTTAGATGCCGCTTAATAAATTGTTCAAGAATGGACGCACTTGCCTAAATGATACGATACCACTTCATATTGCAATAAAAATATGTTAGCATAGGGTATGATTTGAGTGTAAATATTTTTAAACATCTAGGCAGATCCTCCAGGTATTTAGATGGCTCTTGGGAAGTGTGTGGAATGTTTAGCAAGCTTTATTAACTCCTTAAGTACTCAAGGGTATGTTTTATAAATTATTGCTTTCTTGCACTAAATCATAACCAGATTATTCAAATTAACCCCTGGTAAAAATATGATCATCTATGTAAATATTTCCAATTTTGAGGATGAAGAGAACATGTTATGGAATAGAAAGTAATTATTTAATAGATTGCATTTCACATTTGATGTGCTTTTATTATATTAGTCCTTGATGGCATATATGCCAACCAATAAAACATTTATTGCAGTTCTGTGACATTCAACAAAGACTTTTTCAAAGAAATACAATCACTCACCAAGAAATAGAAAAACATTACTTGCAGAAAAAGAAATAATTTGTTGAGAGTTGAAAGTGAAAAAAGATGACTTTGTAATTTTCACCTTTACTCTGAGAAGTAACAGGCCAGTGTCTTAAGCAATTCATTTCATGTTTCAGAACATTCATATCTCTGGTCTTTAAAGCGGTGATCCAGAATATGCAATAATAAATTATTTTGCAATCCAAGGAGCTGAACTTTCCCTCTCAACACTTCACTTGTGACTAGTTAATACTTTATGTATAAGTTTCTCCCAAGAAGGTCATGTCAGATGCTACAAATACATGTACATTGACTGAAAAAAAGTAATTTGAAGGTGGAGATAGTCTCTTTAATAGGAAGTCAGGAAATGTTTATTGAGCATTTTCTATGTGCCAGATAAGCACTTGCTAGATTATAGTAACACACAGATGAATGAAAGTGCAAATGTTCCTATTCTCTTGTGGCGTACCTCATAGATTTAAAGAGAAATCTATTTTAGATAGATTAGATAGAATAATATTTATAGTTATGCACAAACATAAATAAAAGGACTTCAAAAAGCTTGCAGAAAGGAGCCAAGTGGTGGCATACCACCTTGTGGAATCTATCCACATAAATCCTTTGTCCTGGAGCCCCTGAGCATTTGAGGTGCACACGTACGTGCCTGTGATTCTGGCTGTGAGAGGCTCCTGGAATGAAGACCCTGTTGGAGGAGCCTGCCTCCCTCCTTTTCCTCACCTCCATGACTTAAATAAACAAGTGAAGTGAATGCCTTAAAAATGAACAATCCTCTCCCCCTCACAGGCATGCACACAAACATGCACACACACACACACACACACACACTTCTTCAAACAGTTCACAGGAAAGTGAAGTTGAAGTATGAGTTAATTTCTGGTCCAAAATAATCTTGAAATCCATGCATAGTTGTTTTGTTTTTTTGTTTTGTTTTGTGTTGTTTTGTTTTGTTTTCATATTGTACATTATTCTGTCTTTTGAAGAGATGACGTTTGAGGTAAAACCTAAAAAGGTGAGACACATTCAGTTCCGGCCAGATTTGGGGACAGCATCAGGGAGAGGAAAAAACAGGTCAAAAGCTTTGAGGTGACAATGCATTGTTATGTTTAAGAAACAGAAAGTGAGTCTATCTGGAGCCTGGCGATACCAATGATCCTCGTACAAGATGGCACTCTAGAGGGTAGTGAGGCCACACCTGAATAGACTTGTGCATTTCAGTAAACAGTTGACCTTTATTATAATGCAATAGGAAGCCTTTGGGTAATGAAATGAAGTGTTGCTTGCAGTTTAAGAAGATAGCTGACGCTGTGTGAGGAGTGAATTGTAAGAATGACTGTAATAAAAAAGAATGGAGGAGGGAATGAATAGTGAAGACTTACAGGTGGTATTTTATTAGTAATGCTTATCACAATGATTTGTTTTATATTGCTTTGGTCATATTTTCACTGGAAATGCTGTCTACAGAGGTACTTAAAGTAATGTACACCATCTTAAATGCATAACTTATGAAAGAGGTCTGTTGCTACCTTTAAACTACGTTGTGTCTATTAATTCACAGAGACATATACAACATGGAGACTAAATGAACTAATATTCACAGAATAAAATGTCTTCGAGCCCTACTTCAAAGTGGTCCTATTTGGAAATTGAAAATGTCTTAGGCTCCCATAAATATCACTCTGTTACTACTGGCTTGGGCAATGTCCCAGCTCCTTGGCTACCTGGAGCAACAGTTTTATTTCTTCTGTTTCATTTCCACTTTTTAAAAAAAAATTATTCATTTTCATTTTTATTTATTATTCTTCTTCAATTTGACAGAGAGAGACAGAGGCAGAGAGAGAGAAAGAGAGAGAGAGAGAGCCAACTGCCAGGTCGGGACTCCGACTGTGGTCAGCCATGTGGGAGTTCAGACCCACAGCCACCAGGCTACCTGCTGGCCCCTCATTTCTATTGTCATATTTCCTTAGAAAAACTAGTACCTCTACCCTAGTTGATATGTTGTGCTACTTAATTTTGACTGTGTTCAGCAACCATATCTGAAAGATACCCACAGCTACGATCTCTGGTAGATACTGACATTTCAAGGTATCTAGCCAATCCCTGACCCTTCTGTGTTTTTTTGAATTTCAAGATTAGATGATACAAACACTTCCCAGGGGAAAAAAGTCAATTATATTGCAATAGACATTTATCTCACTTCCAGTGAAAAATTTCTTCTTTCCCTTTTTATAATGTGAGTAGTTTTGAGGGGAGAGGGTAAACCATTGGAGAACTGTGTGTTGAACTGCTGGCAAATGGACTTCATTTGGTCTGTATCAGTCTTTTTCAAAATTGTACAATCTGTGATAACATTGAGGCTCATAATTTCTCTTCCCAGTGTAGTATTTTAGTTTTGTGAGAATAATACAGTCATCTTGGAGAAATGTGCTATCACTTTGGACTTTGCTTTCTTAAATTTGCCAAATCTGGCAGTCCGTGACCATTAACAATGAGATTTCTTGTCTCACGAATGCTATGCTATTTTTTAAATATAGAATTCAGATTCTGCCAGGAAAAAAATCAAGAATCTACAGAAAACTTTTTTAAAGATTTCACATTGGTACTGGAATCAAGAAGGGTAATGGAAACTGTATAAAAAGGTCAGGACAATTGCACAAAAAGTAAACTGTTTACTAATCCTGGGGTTTTTATAATTTAACATATCCTCAGTGGCTACATTTTAATCTAAAAACATTCTCAGCATTGATCAGGTAGATGATTTATATGAAACATAACAAATGAGAATAGAAAGTTTTCCTGAACATGCTAAAACATTCCTTTGGGTTTCTAGGTTGGATTCATTAGACAGGCTGGCTTCATGAGCTGACTAGTGTTCTCAGCCTATAAAGGGTAAAAGATTTTCTCTGCTTATTTTAACAATTCCTCTTAGATTTTTGGTAACTGCATTTTCTCTAAAATTCAGTTGAGTTTCGGAATGTCTCGATATAGGGTATCTTTGGAAATGGGGTTGCATTATGCCAAAGTCTATCTGCCCTTTGCCTTGTAGTAAAAAAAATCCGGTAAAACTAGAGCAAATCTAAAAGGAGGGATTTCAGAGTAGAATTTAAAAAGCTGACACTGAAGTCCATTTTGTGGTAAAGTTAAATCTATCAACAGCAACTAATGATTAGATAACCCTAACCTTCTTTTTACTTTCCTTGGAAATTGTCAGCACTTTAGAATATATTATTGAATCCTCTTTGTCACAGAAATATCTTGTCCTCATAAGTTTTGAGATTCTGACTTCCTAATATAAGTAAAAAAATATGTATTTTCACATTGGTTGGATGTGACTAAATGTTTCTCTCTGATCTCACATCACGCAGGATACACAAAAAAATTAAATATCGTGGATTTCAGACATATCTTGAGACAGATCTAAGTTGAATTTTAAAAAGTAGTAAACTATAATGCTTTTTCAATACTCTAGTCACTTTATAAAACTGCATATCATTTCACAAAAAAAATTAATCTACTTTTTTTCCCCCAGAGTACTCTGTTTTCCACTTTCTCTTATTTCTTACACAAAGAAATGCAACCCAAGGTCCAAGCTAATTTCCTAAGAAATAAATACCATTTTGGCAGCGGCAGGCAATTTCCAACCCAGTTGCCTCACTTTAAGAGTTTGGGATGTTTCTATCATTTTTTTCCTTTATTAGAGAGAGAGAGAGAAAGAGAGGGCAACAGACAGGCGCTGTGGCTGGGACTCACTATGCTGCCATCCTCCTATGCCTGCCTCTAATTTAGCTAGAATTACAGACCATGCAACCACACCTGGATACCCGTTTGGGTCTGCCCAGGTACCAATCCCTGCCATTTCCTATAGATTCCAGGTTCCCATGTGCTAGTGCTGCCTGTGCACCACTGTGGCTGGGCTGGATTTAGATATCATAAAGTTGAGATCTCATGAAAGAATTGTGGTAAAGTTCGGCTTAAAAGGTTTCATATGGGCATAAAGAACACAAGATTCAAAAGAAAAATTATGATGTAAGAAGAAAGTCTACTTTGAGGCATAGGCTGAATTTTGTCTGTTTTTAAATTTTTCTTAAATTTGTCGGAGGGCACATGAGCTCACCAGAGAGATACAGAGAGGGCAAATGAAAAAGCACCCCACATGGGAATGATCATGCCCCAATCCCTTCTCCTCCATCCTTCCTATTGGAAATGTGGACACAAACCAGGTGTGTTTTTCAAGCTTCTGGGCCCAAGATTTGA